TGTGTGAAAAAAATATTTTTTCCCCATTGAAATTAATGTAGATCCAATTAATCCATACACCTGCCCCAGACATATGTTTGTGTTATGTGTTTGTGTGAAAAAAATACAAAAAAGAATTAATGACATCATTATTTATAGAAAAATACAGTTATACTGAAATAAAACTTACACTTTACCTTTGTGATTGATGGTTGCTAGCTCGCGTGACTAGAGGAGGAGGAAGGCCACTCCGTTAAAGGGCCCTCCTTCAAGGGATAGTCCTATTCTATAATAACATTAGACAACTGCCTATTGTTTTTTCTGTGGTACACAACTGATGCTGCCATATGCCCCATGTGATATGGAAGCTTGTGTGTTTCTGTGTTCACACATCAAAGCATCGTTCGTGAGTCAAAGCAAAATTGTTTGGAAATGATGTTTGTTGCCTTATTTGTTCATGAATAGGGATGTTTGTCACCCAAGGTATGACTAACTAAATTTGTTGTAGTTTTATGCAGTTTACCTTTGTGTCCTCAAAATTGATTTGTTTTTCAAGAGGTCATGGTATTTTTTAAGGAAAATATGCTTTTTAATTCCTTTGTCTTACTTTAAATTGTTGTGCCAAATGTGGGCAAGCTCAAATTCACAGAAGTAATATGATAACTTGCATTGGTATAAAGTTGTTATGCATCTTATTTTTGTTATAAAGTTTCTTTATAATAGAAACACAAGCAGATACAGATTGCGATGAGGTTGGAGGAAACACACAAAAACTAAAGTGATGGGTGTAATAGCTGTTAAGTTGGATGAATCTTCGTACTGTGATTATGCTCTGAATTGCTAAGTAGCATTGGTTATGCCAGTGCAAAGTCCTGCAATATATGGCTGAGATTGATATGCCATGACTTGCCTGTCATGAAGCCAGTCACGGTAAATGTGCTGGGACGGAATAACAAAGGTAGCACAAATGGTCTGTTCCTGAGTCGAGGTGAAACGAAGGCTCTGGGATGCAAAGAAGCTTCGCAGTCTTCTTCTTTGGCAAGTTGCTGTTAAAGCTACATACTTTTTTAATTTTTTTTAATGATCTAGACTGGGGAGTGAAAGCAAACAGATTTTGGTTAAATTTAAGATAACCAAGAAAGATTTTCGTTCTAGAAAGATCTTTTGTATTTGTGATATGTACTGCTTTTAGAGTTCCTTATTGAATGATTTCTGAGTGATTTTAAAATGGCAGTTGTTGAGTAGATGTGTGAGAAAATTAGATACTCACATATTTACCCAAGTTTTGTTTTCTTTATTTAATGTTGAGATTTAAGAGATGGTAATACCTACAAGAAAGATTCATGGAGTTAGGAAAAAGTGTTGATAGATTCTTGTCTCGGATTAATGAAGGGAATCCTTTTTCTGAGAGCATTTGGCATGTGAGTATATTTTTTATTCTTATAAAGATATTTTAAATGGAAATGTTTCCTGGGAAAAGATGAGTACCTTTCCAAGCTCATTTTGATTGGTCTTCCATATTATGTTAACGCGTTATACTTTGCTTTAAATCGGTTTTATTGTTCTTGTTATGTCTCTTGGTCTGGCTATTGAAATGTCAAAAATGGGATTCAAAGAAATGAGGACGAAGGCAGAAGTGCCATCTGCTGTTATTTTCTTTCTTCAACTTCACTTGGGTTTGTATTTGTTTTTACGCATGGTGCATGCATGCTCACAAAAACATGTATATTCACACACACACACACACACATGCTCACAAAAACATGTACATTATTCTCACACACACATGCTCACACACGCACACCTGGAAACACACACTCACTCACTCATTCACTCACACACACACACACTCTCACTCACACTCACATTCACACACACTGAGAGAGAGAGTGTGAGTGTGTGTGTATGATTGTGAGTGAATGTGTATGTGTATGAGTGTGTGTGTGTATGAGTGTGTGTGTGTGTGTGTGAATGAGTGTGAGTGTGTGTGTGTGTGTGTGTGTGAATGAGTGTGAGTATGTGTGTATGAGTGTGAGTGAGTGTGTGTGTTTATTAGTGTGAATAGTGTGTGTATTAGTGTGTGAGTGAGAGTGAGTATGTGCGTGCGTGCGAGATATATATACATACGTATATACATCCTTACAAACAAACATTTTCACATACATTGCATGGGACTGGTATTATTACCTTGTTCTTTACCTTGCAGTATTGATGTATAGCTGGAAGAAGTCTCAGTTTCTCTGGTGTATGTGCAAATACCAACACATGGACTAAGGCAGGACTTTCCTATATTTATGTTGTGGTATTGATATATTTTGTATTTTTATATGTACTGTCCTCAAATTTAAAGAACTTTTTTATCATACAAAAAATGTTTTGTCTCTTTTTACTTGTTGAATATTTATATTTTATTTTATGGACTCTCTCGATCTCTTCCTATTTGTTGTTCTCTTTATACACTCTTTTTTCTTTCTTTCTCATAATGTGGACCTAATTAATCTTCACAGTCATGGACACTTCAGTGTAGATGCAATAACATACATGTGCACAAAAGAATAAACTGTGTTTTATAGAATACATCATTGAGGGCATCCAAACTACTTTTTGTATTCACTACAACATTTTTCCTTCTTTTCTGTAATACTTCAAAACAATCTGTAAAAAATGGTGCTGTTTGATAGCAAGTTGACAAATAGAATATCAGGTATTTGATTGCTCATTTTTTTTCTCATTGTGTAGGATATATCATGTAAGCCATAGTTGTTGAGTTTTATTTTATTTTTTCCTGTTTTGTCAGTTCTTTCACTTTCAAGGAATTGTTTAGAACTAAACTTTAATTCACTATTTCTCTTCAAAAGAAGAAAAATCTTTCCCTTGGTAATGGTATATATGTACAAATTCATGAACAACTTGGACTGCATATCAGGCAGATTTGCACAGAATAGTGTTCACATCTGAACTTGGTAGTATAGTATTTTTTTTATTTTGCAAGAATCGTATCCATGGAAAGTGGCAAGGGGAGGGTGGAGGGGATGAGAAGTTGTTTTATAGGGAGGGAGTTTTAGCAACTGGTGAAATGTCTTTATTATCTGCTGTAAGTTGAGTAAGGTTTAGGTTGTGTTTATGTAAGAAGATATGATTCAGACCATGTAGTACAGCATTCATTTTTTTTTTTTTTTTTTTTTTTTTTTTTTTTTTTTTTTTATTACTTTGTTTGCTAAGTAAGGAAATCAGTAATAGATAAATTAATTTTGTCTTAAAAAATTATTGCCATGGTTCATTTGTAAATATATATATATATATATATATATTTCATAACCTATCTTGCATCATACATATGGACACCACATTTACAAGACAAGTATATAGTGGCCATATAAAAATAAACAAGCAAAGTTTTACAAGCCCCTGTGCGGATTAATAACCTGAACATGACACTGACTGACAGTTAATTATACCACCATGCAGACTTCCTGTGTATTATTACTGATTTATACTGGAACAAAAGTGTTTGTCTCAAAATTATTACATAAAGGGAAAAAAAAAAGTTTAATGCAGCATCTTATTAGTATTGTATGGCTGAAATTAGACAATGCCAACGGATAGCTTAAATGTATATATTATAATACCAAGTGATTTTATTGTCAAATTATTACTTTTAATACCATATGGAAATACAAATATTTTTGGATATTTAAGATATATGCAAATTCTGACAGAAAATCCATACAGGACAATAATAAGCCGCCTTTTTAGTCTGCAAGATGATGCACAATAACTGTTGTATGTATAATATTGTATGTGATTTTTTTTTTTTTTTTTCCCCAATATAGAAATCATTTATGAAATGGCTGGTATGAAGGTTTCATAAGAACAGTGTTCATATATTGTATTGTCTAAACATTTCACTTGCATATTCAAAGACTTTGATCGTTATATTGACTTTTAAGCCGAGATAATAAAGTTATTAGACTTGTTGAACAGTGGGCAATATTTACTTATTTAACATTTTTCTCTTTTATTTTCCTGTTTTAAATTGTTATACATGGAACACAAAAACAATTGTACAGAATTTCCTCCTGATTTTTTTCTCTCTCTAATGTTTTAAGTATGAAAGTATTGTAAGTATGCTCCATAATAGGGTAACTATGGTAAAGTGGATAAGTGTACTGACATAGAGGCAGTTGTATTATCATGTCTTTTCCCCCACTAAAAAAATATATATATAAAAAATAAAAAAATAAAAAAAATCATATGCTAGGTAATATCTTCTTGTGCAACGGGACCTGGAAATATAAGAAAACGAGTTTGTAATAAAGGAGTCGACAGCGAATGAGCAGGAAGTGGAGGTATTGTTGGTATCAGCAGGAGAAATTTCCACTAATAAATGTACATTTTCCTTTCTTGTGTGTTATTATTTGTCCTTATACATAAGCGCATTTGATATGTGAAATCAAGGTGAACATTCCCCATAATTTTGCTGGGCTACCATTCCAAGTGGTCTGGAAAGTTCGTCAAGAAGGGAGCTAATACAGCAAGAAGACTTGTCAGAATTATGTGAACTAAAATAAGAAAACTAGTACACTGGAAACTTTGTCCATTTTTCTTGAGTTAGCATCTAATTTTCACTCTTCTGTTCCTTTACTTGTATAAATTTGACACATTCAAATCTGAATGATGGCAAATGAAAATGAAATAAAACAAAGATAGGTTTACAAATTATGGTATTGGTCTGTTTTGATCATAAGACATTGCAGATCAGGATGTGAATGGTTGAGCGAGATCAGATAAACTACCGTGGTAGCTTCTCAAACTTGAACATTTTCATAAACGATTCAAATTGTTACATATTTTATATATTCTCAGAAAGATGAGCACGAAGTTTTAAATAACCACACCATATTTTTTCTAAATAAATTCCTAATATAATCACATAATATCAATTCTATAACCCTCTAATCTTTGACATCTAACACATTTCATCCTAATCTTTAACTCAACTTTACCCTTTTCACCGCAATACTTGACCATAGCGCTATTTGACCTTTGATGTCTGGCATATATATTTGTTTCAACCATTAACTGTTTATCCATCATCTGGAGCTCAACTGATGGTTAAAAATAATGCCATGCTTCATCATATTTTAATCTCTTAACTTCATAACAAAAAAATTTAGATCTAAGATTCAAATACCTGCATTGTGCAATCATCAAACAAAAGCATTCATATATTCCAAAAATCTTGCTCGAGTTCTGGATCATAAAATAAAATAAAATAATAATAACAATAAATTAATATACAAGTGCTCATTCAGCATAAAACCTTCACAAGCTTTACAAAGACTAAACAGACACCCATACTATAAGTCAAATATAAAATATATAACACAGATCAGAAAACCTATAGCCCTAAACTTCAAACACTTTCATACCTAAGAAGTACTTGACATTCCATGTGCACTCATCCCTCTCTCTAAGAGTTTGAGCATGACAGGATATACTGGGGCGAACTGTGTGAGGTTGCGTGATCTGACATTGGCTACGTACGCCTCCAGGGCACCTCTCACAAGCTGCAATCTCTCTCGCTCATCACGATGTTCATCCAGCCAGTTGCTATACCTGCTGACCGACCATCCTGCAGTCTAAAGGCAAAAGAGTTTTTTTTGGTTAGTAACTCTCCATATCTTTGATTCTACCAAGTGCTAAAATTAAGATTGAAAATCAGTTTTAGTAATAAGATGGTCAATTTTCATATCTACTAAAATCTAAATAAACCCAAAAACATAAATCTTTAATGTACGTGATGATTCAAGCAAACAATAATGTTTATAGTACTACAGACATTTAAACTTGTTCACCAATGCAAAATAGTACCTGATGCGGAGACCTAAGTTCCGGAGGAGCCTTAGCGAACAAGAAGTGCAGGATGACCGAGTAGGGAATGACATCTCCAATGCTGGGTGAAGCGCTGATGTGGTCTGTCGTCTGGAATAGCAGCGGTCGGAAGGTCCTCACAATGCGGTATGGCTTGCCCAGCTCTGATGGACGGCTGCACAGAGGATTGATGGCCAGTTCCATCTGGGAGATAAGATAGAGAGTGTGAATACAAACACTGTGCCCCCTCCTTATTAAATTTTTTAAATTGAGTGAATTAAACTTGAGTCAGGGAAAACTAGTAACATTAGTCATGGAGTTTATTTTACTTAAATCAATGAATAGCAACAAAAATATAGAAAACCACAATGTGTCATAATATAAATATCAAACCATCCTACAAATTCTAGAATCCAAAGTGCTTACAAACCTGGGCAAAGTCTGCTGCCAGTCGCAGTTTTCCACCATCTCCTATTGGACGCAACAGACTTGCATGACGTACAAATAATTCTAAGCACCTGCATGCTAGCATATGCACACTGCAAAAACCAGCATTTGCATTAGTTAACATAATTATTACAGAAAAGGATCCAACTTAAAATGAATGTAATGAAAAATACATATGAATATGAATCATCAAGACATATGTATCCAAAATCCTGTGCTTACTTTTCCTTTATAATTGCCGAAGGCTGGTAAATAGCAACATAATCCGTTGCTACTCGGTTGATAAACCCTTGGAGCTCTTTCATGTAGAGCGAACACTGTGAGTCACTGCCACCTGTATCTCCTCTAAAAAACAATAGCAACAAATATCATTCTGTATGAACTGTTAGAGCAAATGAATCCAATAAATAAAAATAGAGATGCTAATAGTGAAGAAATATTTGTAAGCAGAAATTGGCAAACACACTGAAGTAACTCACCCAGAAAAGTCCTCATTATGCATTGTGAGAATGATGGCCTCTACTGCTTGTGTAATGGACAGAAAGAGGGGTTGCACTGCAGAGGCCATGAGAGCATCTATGGGTGGAAGAGCCTAACAAAAAAAGAAGAAAGTTTTACAGGCCATTCTTTGAAATATTTAATACCACATACAAAAATGCAAAGACCTAGTTTATGAACTTTACAAATATGTAATTCTGAATAAGATATATATTGAAGTAAAATCAAATATAGTAAAAAGAAGTTTGGAGATGAAGATTGTTACATCCACCAAGAATATGCAACTTTATATGTTTAAAAGAGACTGAACCAAACAAAGGGCAATACCCTCACCTGCAGGAGGGTATTGGTGACAGGCTGCGGCAGATGGGCTAGAGTGGCTGAAGCTGTGCGCTCTATTTGACTTCTGACATACAGCAGCTGGTTCACTACAGCTCCGTTCAAGGCTTGACCAGCAGTTGGGGTTCCTAGAAAACAGGTGATAAGATTGACAGAGAAGCACCTTGACAATCTCAAATTGTAAGGCTCTGTTATCCCAAAGATATAAAGACAAACTAGCAGTGTAGGTACCTTAGGATTAAATATGCCTCCATCTGTCTACAATTTGTGTATGTGAACAAGTGAGTGAGTGATTGAGAGAGAGAGAGAGAGACAGAGAGAGAATGTGAATAAGTGAGTAAGAGTGTGTGAGAGAGGAGAGGAGAGGAGAGGAGAGGAGAGAGGAGAGGAGAGGAGAGGAGAGAGAGAGGAGGAGAGAGAGGAGAGAGGAGAGGAGAGAGGAGAGAGAGGAGAGGAGAGGAGAGAGGAGAGGAGAGGAGAGGAGAGGAGAGGAGAGGAGAGGAGAGGAGAGGAGAGGAGAGAGAGACAGAGAACAAGTGTCCGTGCAAAGTGCATTTTCTTTCCTTTTTTCTGTTATCTACCATGTTCCATTTTTTCGTCATGGTATATCATCGTTTTTTTAAGGGAATCCATCCCCATTTCTATCACTTACGAGAGTCATTTCTTTCTTTGGCGTTTTTTCTTAATATAATTCAATCATGCTAACCTAGTTAGCATAAATCATATAATGCTTAACTTTCTTATTCATGTGGGTGAGATATAACATGCAATTTCTTTAAATTACTATCTGTTTCTTCGGGCAATCTAGGCCACGTGGCTAGAATTATAAGTATTGCCAAATTCCTGACATTTTTTTCTTATTCTCGTTTTATCTCACTGCGTTAACCGATGACATATCGACGTTCAATTCGGATATTATTACTAAGTGCATTTATTTGGGCTCGGTTTAACTATGCATTTGTGGGATATATTTGAATATTGTACCTCCTCTCTCCTAAATACCCTCCCTCTATATCCATGGGTTAAATTATCCGATTTTTTGTATCAGTTAGCATTTCGAACGTTTGAGATTTTCTTTTCGTATATATATTTATACAGAGTACGTCTTATTTATTAGTATTTTATATGAATATCAACTTTTATGTATAAATTGTTATATTTGTTCTCTAGTACGAGTGACTTCACACATGGCTGGCCAGGTGATTTAAGGTCAGGTCTTGTCAAAAGATGACACATCTCACCTTTATGACCTTAGTGCTGTTTCGAATTATGTTTCACATTTTTTTTCTGAAATTCAATTTCATTTATATAACACGGCGATTTACAATAGACTGATGAATTTACTTCCGGTTTGCACGAATATATTGGGAACTGTAATAATATTAGCATGATTCAACGAATTAAATTGTATGTTTTTACGTTATTATCATAGTATATTTGTGCGTATTCCGAAGTATATTTCGTAATTATTCGTCTTCTTTATTGATATATTTTTTCTTTAATTATTTATGTATGGTAAATCCTTTGTTTCATTTATTTTCTAGATTACTGTGTACTTGCTTTTCACAATATTATTTATTTTTATATCTATTAGCTATTGCTATTTTTAGCGAATGTTCGGATAACAAACTCATTTGACCTTACTCAGGTAGAAGGTACTTATAGCCATCTGACTCTGCTCGACCCAAAAATACATTCAAGCTATTTGTATTTATATCTTATTCAATGATCTCCGTGTTAGAGATTAATTATATTATACAGCTACTACGATTTCATATTGTTTGTGATTTTCGCTTATCTTAATCATGAACCTCACCTCATCATTATTACATGGTCCTTGGTGACGATCCCCAGCTGGGTATGGACATATAATTAGGTTAAGGTAATTAAGTTGTCCTTTATGTGCCGAGCTGCACACTTATCGCTAGAGGTGATCTACACGCCGCGCCTTCTTATAAGAGTATACGTGAGAGATTATCGTGAGAGATTATCGCTGGTATTCCCCAAGAAGATGGGATACCCAATTTGCATTCTGCGTATGAGCTGGATGATATGTCCCTTCTACGGTTGGGTCATCATGTCATCACTTTCCTCAGGGAATTTATTTTAAGTATCATTTGTATCATGTTTGTAAACTTGACGTGAAAGAGATGTTCTATGCCAAACTTACATCTGTGGTAGACAGATGTCCCCGGCGAGATATTCGCATTGTTCTGGGCGACTTCAATGCGGTATCTGGCTGTGATCGAGCTGGCTATGAGATGTCTGTCGGTCCTCATGGTTCAGCTGATGCTGGTAGTGAGAATAGCCTCCTTTTCCAGGACTTTGCTAGGACCCAGAAATTGAGGATTTCTGGCTCCTGGTACCAGCGCCCAGACCCACATCGCTGGACATGGTACAGTGATGCGGTTAATGCAGCCAAGGAGATCTACCACATACTCGTTAGCACTTGTTGGAGGATCCTTCAGAATTGCAGGGTGTACAGGAGTGCTGAGTTCTGTGGTACTGACCATAGATTGGTTGTGGCTACCCTCCGGGTCCACTTCAAAACTCCCCAGCGGTCAAATGATCACCCTAGGGTGTTTCATTTGGACAGGCTGAGGGAGGGGGAGTGTGCTCGCGGGTTTGCTGAGGCAATCTCTGATTGTTTCACAATGCTTGGCAGTCTGACAGACCCTGTTCTTCTGTGGGATACCTTTATGCGTGAAACGCTTGATGCAGCTCAAGATACGATTGGTGTACGCTCAAGAGCAGTACAGAATTCCATGTCGCAGGAGACACTGGAAGCCACAGATGCATATCATGCGGCTCGTCTGACGGGGGATTGGGAATTGCACCGTTCGCATGTACGCAGAACTCGGTCCCTGTTAAGAAGGGACAAGGAACAGTTTATTAGGAATCTTCCTGAGGAGGTAGAAGGCCATTTCTTAGTAAATGACCTTCGTCCTGCATACCAAGCGCTGAGAAAGCTGAACTCCAAGCCCTCTTCACAGGTGACAGCAGTTCGCTCAGTAAGTGATCAGATAGTTTCAGATCCTGTTGCGGTGAGGGAACGTTGGGCTGAGTATTTTGAGCAGCTGTACCAGGTTGACCCACCAACAGTTAACTTGGATGCGGGTAGTGGCGAGATCCCGCTGCCGGATCCACCCATCAGTGAGGACCCTCCCTCCCTAACTGAAGTTAGGAGGGGCGATTTCCAGCTGAAGAGTGTGTAAAGCAGCAGGTATTGCGGCATTACAGC